GTTTCATTTCTTCCTATCAGCAATGTTGTCTATTAGGAACATAAACATGTGCTGTATACTGCAATATGTGGCCGCAGGCTGTGAGGAGGATTCCTACCTTTGCTGCATTCTTCTCAACGCCTGCAGTGGAAAAAATATGTGACAGTGAGCAACCACGAATAACACACACACACACACAGGTTCATATTCACTAATACATCTGTAAGTCTGTGCTTGTGGAAATGTATCTTCTATTTAAGTGAATTTTCCCCAGAAAAGATTTTAAAGGCTGAAAGGACTCACCACGATTGAGTAAAATCAACTTGGGTTTTCCGTTTTCAAGCTCAAACAGGAGGCCGTCTCTGTGGAAATATCAGTGAAAATAGTGGAAAAACAGCAACATCCATTTGACTGCATTGTGTGTAAAGTACCAGCTCTTTAATGTTTTCAATTGTCCTATTGTGTTTATGTTTTAATGCCGTCGTCTTGCTGCAATAATAATTTCCTCTTGTGGGACAATGATGAGCTAAACTGGACAGACAGGTCTGTGAGTTAGTGCTCGACCAGTGTCCTGTAACTGGAGGGTCACAGCTTTCAATCTCTCAACAGCTGGAATATTTATTCTCATTTACAACATTTCAGTCTGTTCCAACTTCATCAGGTATTTGTTGTTTATGACCACAGCATTGTAAATTAATAAATATTCCAGCAGTAAGCAAAACAGTGTGGGTCATTTTTCATTTAAATTGTGTTTTCCTTCAAAGAACCTGTCACATATTCAGATTCTTCCAGCAGCCAAACTGTCTTAAATTCAGAAAAATATATCATTTGTGTTCTTCTCAGTCATTTGGGGGCAAAGATACACATTTCCCTGCCTTTGGTCTTAATTACCAAACCGATATTTGCTTGAAAACAAGCGTTGTGTAGACTTTTGTTGTGTTTTGTGACACTGAGATACTGAGACAGAACAGTGCATGCAGCATCGTGTAATGACATTACACAGTGTCACATGGTGCAGCACAGCAAAAGTCACACAACGGGTCGACGCACACAATATTAACATTCATTACTCTGCTTTTCTCCTGCATCATTAACTGGCTTTGGTTGGTGAGAATGACGCTTTAGTGAGTTAACATGAACTCAGGAGCACAGCTGTAACTCATCAGTGACCTGTCTCAGAAAAATGAAGTGTTACCTGATGAAACCTGCGATTAAAAGTAGTTTCTATTATTTCTTTCTTGTTTAAATGAAGTGAAATGAATGTTATGTTTGCACATACTCTTTTCACAGTGACATCTCTCTGCTGCAGCTCTGGTGGCTGGACTCACTTCACTGCTGTGTTCTTACTTTAATTTACATTCATGTGTTGTTATTCTTATATTCCTGTGTGTATCTGTTTCTTGTATGTGTGGTGTATAAAATACTGCATCCCTAAATGTCCTCCTGCAGGAATAAAGTATTTATATCTAACGTTATCTATCTGACACATTAAAACAAACAGCACCAGCCCTGCGTGTTAAAGGCTCAACCACAGCTCGTTGTGCATATCACCAGCTGTGTGTACGTATGAAAAGTAATGTGTTGTTTTAGTTTATTTGTTCAGTTTTGGACACAAACTACACAATAATCCCCACTGCGACACACTTGGCCTAGCTACTGGTCGTTGAAACAACAGACTCACCCGAGATTCATGCCCACAGACAATGTTCTGCCCAGATGGCGGCACAGACCTATAATAACAGGAACAATGTGGTCTGTTAATAGTTTATATTGAAGCTAAAGCTCCGGACTGACCGCACCGCCACTCGGTTCCTGGTTGTTCACTTGTGTACGTTGGTTGCTGAGAACGACCAAGAACGGCTGCACCGATTGGCTCATTCTGTCCCAGTGTGACTGGAACAGCCAATCAAATGTCTTCATTTGGAGCTTTACGTCAGAAGATGTTGCATTTGTGGAGACTGGGAATTTATTTAAAATGAGGCAGACGTGACAAAATGTAACGTTTGTT